ACAGAAATTCAGGAAGCAATAGCAATGCTTGCTAGTTAGTATTCCAAGTATTGCCTATCTGATGAGACAGCTGCATAAATGGACATTCCAAAAGAAGGAACAAGTAACCTTTCCAAGGATTATTAGCACCTGACAGTCCCAGAGGTAGTTCTCAGTCATAACCCTTTATTTCCTAGGATCAACCAGGCTGGCATTTTTCACATTACCTATTAAAGAATATTTACTTTGTATGCCTTGTGCTGTGACTGTCAGCACTCCAGCTGAGCAAGGAGATACTTGGCCAATACCACATGTGAGACATTTAAGGAGCCTTTAGATGCTGCAGGAGGTGATGTTCATAAATCAGTAGGTGGTGCTCCGAGTCAGCAGTGAAGGTAGTGTTCAAATACCCAACGTAGTGTTTTTGAGGAATGGGGGAAGTGCAAATTGTGTAATGAGGGTATCAGCTTTTGTACGAGATGTGAAAAACCAAAGCTCCTGATCATTTGTGGTTATGACGGAGTCCCATGGCGTATTTGTAAGAGTTGAGGCGTTAGCCAATGCTACAATTTCAGTCTGCTTTCTTAAATTCCCTGGAGCCCCTGTAGTTCCAGTTAGATACACCATTCTCCACTTCCCGTCTCTAATTGGTGTGGAGCATTTGTCAGTCAGTGCTGTTATTAGGTCCTGTGCTTATTCGGTCCTGTGCTCAAATTCCAACTACAGCATTGGAAACACTACATAAATAGCCTACACGGGGGCAATACACAGCTTACAACAGCGGGGCATGTTTCAGTGCCTCTAACTGCCCGTTTGTCATTGGAGACACAGGCAGCAAACACCCTGACAATGCAAAAGGTTCCAACCAACCCACCTTTACTGCAGGTTACTCACATTAGTGTGCACATCCGACAGCCACATCCAGCCCATTTCTGCTTCTTGTTATATAGAACTTTAGTATAGAGTGCAGCTGCTTTCAAAGGATAAAGAGCATGTTCTTTAGTAGAGACAAAGTAGGTGAGGTAATATCTTTTATTGGACCAGTTTCTGCTGGTGAGAAAGACGAGCTTTTGAGCTTATCCAGAGCTCCTCTTCAGGTCTGGGAAGGGAACTCTGTCATGGTTCTTTAGCAAAATACATATGAGTTTCTACTGAAGGAAACAAAGGATCAGAGAAATGTTATCGAGGCAGAGCTATGCTTCAGGTCGGTGTACAGCACATGTCAAATATATATTGAACCCCAAAAAACAGCTGATAAACTTGTGACTCATCAGGGGCTGCTAAAGCCAGGATCCATGTCTTGTTTGAGAGTACAAGACAGAGGGCAGGTTGTTCCCATCAAATATCACAAAGTCCCATGTACTTCATGGGACCTAAACTATGTAGCAAGAGGCCCCACACCCCCACTCCCTTGTGCTCCACTGTGGCTGGCTAGACATTCTGCATCCTCATTTAAAGTTAAAACTATTGCAGTTTTCTGAATTAAATAGGAAGACGAATATATGCAATACAATAGTCCATGTCATTTTGGATACATTTAAATAAAGCATTTTCAGCTTTGCACATGGCAAAGATTTTCATAGTTGCACAGTCCTAGTGTAGAAATTGGCACAGGGGAAGCAAGAAGTTTTGGCAGTTGGATGGAGACAGCTGAAGCTGTTGGCAGCAACAGAGGTATGGGAGACAGTTCAGGATAAGCACATCTGGAAGAAGTTTCTTCTTAAACGATGATCAGTTAAATAATTAACGTGGACAGGGACATGTTTGCGATTAGGTTTCAGAGTCAACACTGCTCCCCTGAGAGGAATGGGGGCAGTTGGCTCATCTCAATATTGTTTCAGGATGTAATATTAAATGAGGAGAGGGTGCTAAAGTCACTGATGACCAACGGGATACCTTACAAATCTAACATTAAAAAGTTAAAGATTTCTCATAGAAAAGGGGTTAGAAGAAGAATGAGAAACTGAACTAAGCTCACACAGGACAATTGAATTTGCTGCAGTTTCAGACTTAGGTACCTACTCTTGTGCCCCTGCTGGGGACTGAGGTGCCCAATTTAAGCAGCCAAATCTAGAAATGTGAAGGCAGCTTCCTTTCCTTACCCAGTGACTCCTAAAACTAGACTGACAGGCAGCATGATTAGTGGCCTGAGAATTCCAGTAAGAGCCATGAGTGGAGCTCCCACATTGACTCATGGATGGCCTTGAGAAATCACTTAAAACTGTTTAACTCATCTGTCAGAAAAGGGGGATAATTCAATTTACCTAATCCCCACAACACCCTGTTTGGAAACTGTAAAGTGCCATTATTAGTTTGTTCTGTTTTCTGCCCCAATGCAAGAGTCAAAGAGAAGGGAAAAGAGTCAATATAGAGGAAAACATGGGAAGTAAAACTAAATTGTGCACAAAGCAATGTGATAAAAGATTAAGACTGCCTGCAGAGGATTGTGTATCAAATGATAGGAACCAAGATCTGAAATGCAGCTATCATACTCATTTAGATTATCTATTTCTCAGATTCAGGAGGATCAGACTGGAGAATTAAAGTGCAATTAGAGATGTAGAAACATGCCAGGGAGAAAAACACTGGGCATTAAATGTAATAATTAATCAAGTCTCAGACTCAGAGACCAAATGCATGCTCGAATCGGGCGGTAGGTATCCTGAAATCCATGGTGGAGGGCAGGTGGGTCCCAGCAGTTATGAATTTAAGAAATAGTTTGGAAAAAGGCAATGTAGATCAATCTTCATTTTACATTACAGGTAGGGGATATATGTTGCATGTCTTTAGGCGTCTGACTTCTCCAACAATAGCCTTTTCCATAAGAAAAATGTGAAAGTGGCATCTTTAGAAACACACAGTACATTCCGAATCCACAGAAAGGTCACGAACTCTTCCTGCAAAAGGGAAGCAAGGAGGGGAGCCTCGGTAGGGGCTTCCATGGTGACCAAATAAAACTGACTTATTTGAGTCAGTGTAATGAGTCTTCACAACACTCAGCCAATTCAAACAAGTGAACGCACAGCTGAAGGCAGCAACACCGATCACCCAACACTGGAAGTTAATTAAGGAAATATGCCCCTGCCCTGTAGCAGAAACATTTGCTGAGACTGTTCTGCTAAGATCAAGTGCTGCCCAATCTCCCAACTGACCGAACATCAAGCAGCCCTTGAAGCAGAGGGTGTATTGTTGGCTGGAGTCATGGAATCCCAGTGGCCCAGCACTAGGCAAGAAAACCCCTCCCTAGGTTTAGGAAGGGCTGTGGGATGCAGCAAGTCTTTTCTACTTTGCACTTAAATGCACTCCCCTTTCCTGCACTTGAGCCTACATTTATGCTGAAGCATAGGCAAGAGCTCAGTCCTTTCAGTTTTATAGCTAACCACCAAGGGCATGCTGACACGCTCTGTACCTCGGGGGAGCATGCTGTAGTCCCCATATTCCTCATTTACATATAAACGTGATCTTACATATAAAGCATGCCTTGTAAGGTATCAAGGGAAAGGTTACGATCTGCTGAAAGTCATTCTCTATCCATGTGTGTGTATCATTAATGCACATGAAGTTAGAGAATTGTATTTTATGGTTGTCACTAAAGCATGCTGTAAACTGGCAATGACTCACCTGCATGAGGCCACACCAGAGGAATTGCTCAACCTTGCTTGGAGAGACTCAGCAATGCCCTCCAGACATGCCTGGACTTGTGTCCTAGTCCTACAAGCACATGGACTGAGGGAATAAAAGACAGAGTGGACACATACTGGGCCCTTTTCCTTCCCCCACCTATGCTGCAAGCAACCAAGACACTGAGAAGAATACAAGACTCCAACACAGAAGATTGGCCTAGGTTTAAGGAACAAACCTGTATATTAAGGACTGCAATATCCAGTGGGGTGAGAAAAACTCCTTTATCTAGTTGCTGCCCAGTCTAATGGGGTTGAGAGTTTAGACTGCGTACCTATATTTTCTTTTGGTAACCACTCTGACTTGTTATGCTTTGACTTAAAATCTATCTTTATAGTCAATAAATCAGTTTATTCTACCTGAAGCAGTGTGTTTGGTTTGAAGCGTGTCAGAGACTCCCCCTTGGGAGAAAGCCTGGTACATGTCAATTTCTTTGTTAAATTGACGAACTCATAAGCTTGCAGCATCCAGCGAGCATAACTGGACACTGCAAGATGGAGGTGCCTAGGATTGTGTCTGGGACCGGAGATATTGGCGAGTGTCATTCGCTTGCAACTAGCTGGGAGCAGCTTACATGCCAGAGGCTTTGCATGAACAGCCCAGGAGTGGGGGTTCTCAAAGCAGAGCAGGGTAAGACTGGCTCCCAGAGTCAAGGATTGGAGTGGCCTAGAAGATCACCAGTCCAGATAACACCCGAGGGGAATATCACACGTGCCATGCAACTTCTTAAGAATTTTCTCTCTCTCATATACCCCCACCAACCCACCCATCCTGCAGCCAGCATTTGAAATACTCATGAAAACTTTTCTTAAATAATGATGCAGTAACTATTGTTACCTCTTCTTGTCACCCTTCTGTTACTGTAACATACACGTGTAAGCCATTAGTACTCACCATTTGAAAGAATCTCAGTGTGTTGTGGGGCGATTTTTCCAAAAACAAAAAAAATCCCCAAATGGAACAATCTTCAAAATCCCACAGAATAGCTGAATTCAAAGTAATCATGTGGTGTTAATATGAATGCCATGCTTACAGCAGGTGCATTTCCATCAGAATGAACTCTGCAATATTTCTAGTTTTAGCAGTATTAACTATTTTAAGTGTAGGGAATCTCTTTGGAAATGATACTCTCTAAAACTAGAATTAACACTGTGTTCCCACTGTAGCATGTACAAATATACGGTATACTGTTAATCTTTGCTAAAAAACAATCCTTGTGGGTACTTGAACGTCTTGTGAATGTATAGCCTTCATTTTCTTTAGTACCCTGATGCTTAATACAGGTATAGCAAACTGATGTCAGAACACAACTATTTTTTATAGTTAAAAATGACAAAGAATAAAGAGAATTGTCTTTATTTTTAAATATTAGTAACACCGCACAAAACAATTAAGTGGTACTTAAGTGACAAACAAAAACTGTTCTCAATCTTAAATTTCAGATAAACCTAATTTAAGTACCCTAACAATCTGCATACGGTTACATTTTCCTAATGCAAGCATCATATGCTAAACCATCCAAATATTGTAGATTACCAAGATTTCTCATATTTTAACAGTCATTCTAGAACAGCAGATTTTACTTCTCTTTAGCATCTTCTTTACATCATGTGCATTGCTACATTTTGTAAATACCAAGGTGAGTGAATTTCTCCAGGAAATTTGGGTTTCCAACAGTGCCAGGTTTAAGTCAGTTACATCACCAACATAAAAGCAAAAAGAGCAGAGACAAAAGAACAAAATGAAAACATGTCCGATAACTAGTATTCATAGGTTAAAGAGAAAAGGCAACCCACTGGCAAGGAACATGCAGGAAAGTAGTTAAGACAATAGAAAGATTCTACTTAGTGCTCAGTTAAAAGGTTAGGAGAAGCAGTGTGACATGCACATAGAACAATTATGGGAAGCAAGGAAGCAATCTTGCCAGACTCAAAATATTTCTTTTAAAGTGAGGAAAATGTTTCCAAACTTAAAAGTTTAGTCCTGCCATATAACTGATGTAAAATATACTTTCCTCATGTGTGACTGACATTCTAGATATATATTTCTGCAAAGAATTACTTGCTAGAATCATATGGAACCTGAAAACGTGTTCAGGATCTGAAATCACTCTGCAGAAATCAAGTGTAAATTTAAAGTAAATTAACATTTAGATAATTTGTCTGGAGAGACTTTGTAGAAATTGAAAATGATGAAAAATACAAGGAATGATTTCACTCAGTGACTCACCAGGAGTCTACCATGCATAATGAATCAGTATGAATATTTACAGGAGACCAGAATCACACTGGCTTTCTTAAATCACCAGATGTAACTTCAAAATGCAACATAAATGTGACAGCATATTTAAATCATCATAACAGAAATAATTTTTTCTGCCTTGGTTAGAAAAAAGTTAATGTAAAATGCAATTATGAAGTTTACATACTTATTACTAGATTGTTTCTTAAAACTAGTTTCTAAAGGCTTAGTCCTACTCTCACCGAAGTCAATGGGAAAGCTTCTATTGATTTCAGTAGGAATAGGATCAAGGATTAACTCAGATATGTTAACAAGCCTGAGGATACCAGAAGGAGTAGACCTAAAGAGACATTGTTACAACCCCTTATATCCTAGAGGAAAACACAAGACTACAGTAGATCTAGTTGCCGGGAAGGAAGAAGTAAGTGATTCTGCAAGATTTTCCAAGTTTCAAACACAATGCACCTCTAACCAAGATCAGCCTACTTTGAAGTCCCCAGTCTGACTGGCAAAAAAGCCACTCTGTGCTGCTAAAGGGTAATACAGTGCAATTTTAGTGTAGTTTTAAACACGAGTCCTCTTCCTTACTAAGAGTGTATACAATCAAAATAAAATATACACAAAAAAAGTGTGCTCAAATGTAACAACAACATATGGTATCATTGTAAAGGTATTGAATATCGGAGGAGTCCATTTTAGTGATTCCCTTTGGTTGGCTTCTTCTTCTTCTGTTCCTCTCTCTGCTTCTGCTTCCTCCTCTTGCTGCCTTCTTTGTGTCCTGAGGAGATATGGCTTGTAAAACACAGTTCATAATATTCAATTGACTTTTCCTTTATAAATGTACACATTCTCTGAATGGTTTAGATATTCTTTCAAGAAGACTTGGTCTAATTTGGTTTGTTTCTTTAGTTACCAGTTTCACTAAGTCTAATACAAAGCTAGGAAAAAAAAGCTTAGGTATCTTTGAAGTTTGGAAAGATGTAAAAACAATCAAAAAACTTCAAAGCCATTCAGGAAGAGCCTCAAAAATAAAGAACTTACAAAATGGACACAAAAATAAATAAACCTAGAGTATATGCAGACAGTGCTATTGCCTATTCACAGCATTTGAACTTACCATAGTACTTGCACTGTCTTCCTCATTCTAAGGATAGAAAATAATCTTGAGTAAGAACGATTTGCTATATGTTAACATTTACTGGAGCCCACTGTGTATGCCGAACATCAGTCTGTGCATGCTTCATCAGCTAAACTAGGTGGATTTATATTGTATGCCTTGTGCAAGAGAACAAGGATTAGATATCAGGACTAAGCTACTTATAAACTCAAGTAACTATCTAGCTCCACTTCAGAGGAGCATATGCAAATGAAGTCTGTTTTTGCAGCACCTAATATGCTTTTTCCCCGATTTCTCCATCAGGCCATGTGATCACACTGCAAGAGTGGCCCTAGCCATTGTATCAGCCAGGGTGGAAAATCTTTTGGCCCCACTTCCACCAGCCAAGAAAAAGAGGGCAGCCAGAGTGGAGCAAAAAGGCGAAGCAGTACGGCACCGCCTAGAAGTTAGTGCCTGGGATGACTGCCCTGCTTGCCTACCCCTAGAACTGTCACGGTCACACTATCCCATGCATTTAAGGGAGATGTGAAAACCAGAATCATGTATCAGAACCCACCTGCTTCCTCTCAAACTTTGGGTAAAATGGAACTGTCTACCCAGGCTTTTGTTGTGTACAACTCACCATGGAAAACAGAACCATCTCCATTCAAGTCTAATGAATTCTATTAATTCTAATCTGAACTAAAACCAATAGATTTAGACTGATGTTTACAATTCCCTTCAAGATTTATTACACAAAGCTTTAAGAAAAAGAACGTGCTTCTAACTCAGCAATACTGTTTCACTGAGGCAGCAGCATGATCTGGTGGACAGGGCAGACAAAACAAAGTCTCACCACTACATATCAGATATAGGGTTGAAGAGGAAGAATGGGATAAGAAGGATAAAGCACCAGACTGGGAATGTGGAGACCTATTCTGATCCTGATTTTGCTAGTTAACTGCTACGTAATCATGAGCAGATCACTTCATTTCTAAATCCGTTTCCCTCATCTGTAAAATGTGAATAATGATACTTCCCTACCTGTGTACGTACTTTGAGGTCAACTGATTAAAAGCACTAAGTAAGAGCTAAGTAAGTAAGTATTAACCATTGTGCTTTACAATCTCTCTTGTGGGCTCTATCCTTAAGTCCTCTTAAAAGTAGAATGCCTCTTTAAATCAATGGGAGTTTCGCCCACCTCTCAACTGCAGTACTTAAGGGAAAGTTTCCAGCTTTAAGTCAGCAGAACGATACGGTATTCTTTTGGGCCAAATTCACTTCAGGAACCAGCAGACAGCTTTTGAATTTGCTGGAGTTGAACCCATTTATGCCAATGGTGAATTTGTTCCTTGGCTATTATTTCAGCTCCTACACTGTGTACAGCAGCATTATTTCATAATATATGCTTAGTAACCATAGGATTTCAGAAACTGTGCTCCTTATTTAATATTCTGCCATGTGCTATTAGCCTGGGCAAGTTAAAGAGGAAACCAGTTTTGCTATTTAAAGGATGAGAAAAAACAGCAGTGTTCTGAGTGGAACTTGTGGAGACACTGACTAAGCTTTTCCTATTCAAACGCACCATACCACCTTGATGTCCACAGATGTTGCCACCAGACACAGGTTATTGAACATGTGCTTACTACTAAGAATGAAGCACCATCAACAACACTTTGCTTCATGTATTAAAGTAGTTCACTCTGAAAATCAAGCCCCTTCACCAACTGCACTTGACCTACAATTGTAAAAACTCCTTGAGTTGCCTTATAGCTGAATGCAACAGACCAGAGGGATCTTATCTCAGAAGGGCACTAGCAGCCCTCTTAGAATAGAGGAGAGAAGACAGTGCAGAATAAGGTGGTCAGGCGAAGAATCTCCTATAAAAAAGTATCAGTTAGCAATGGGCTGAATTCACAAGATTTCCCCTTTTAGTGAGAAAAGCAAAATCAATAGCATAATTAGCCACTCCAAACTAGTCAGTTTATTGACTATGTTAGCAATGATATTCTGAAAGAACCATTACAGCCTAATGATTTACACCTTTATTCTCATTTTCCCTTCACAAAAGGTGGTCAGTAATTCTGAAGGGGCTTTTACATACAGGCGACACTGATTCTACATGGCTTTTAGAAAAAAATCCTCATTCAAAAACATAGGAAGGAACCCTATATCACTTAACCAGGATGCAGACAATCCAATATAAGTTAACTTGTTGTATATGGATACAATATGCTTCATTAGGTAAATAATTGACCAAAACTAGCACTAAATGTTAGAATAGATGGGTACTAAGGAATTGAGACTGACAGCAAGATCTCTGACTAGTCTCTGGAATGATCTCTCACGGGAAACAAAAAGAAAAGGAGTTCTTGTGGCACCTTAGAGACTAACCAATTTATCTGAGCATTATTTGAGCTCAAATAAATTGGTTAGTCTCTAAGGTGCCACAAGAACTCCTTTTCTTTTTGCGAATACAGACTAACACGGCTGTTCCTCTGAAACCTGTCACGGGAAACAGTGACATTTAAAACTAAACCGCCAAAACACTACAATAAGGACCATTCCTGGAAAGACAGGACGAATGGGTCTTCTCCATTTCTAAGCTTCTGTGATGAAGTCCTTCTCCCCCCCGTCAAAGTGGGCCAGAGTCTCTGCTGGGATAAATCCACGTCGCTCCACGGATAGTGGTGCTATGGTCATTTGCACCGCAGAGAATCTTCCCCAAACAGACAGAGTAACTCCTAATGAGACAAGGTGCTCAGCCCTTTAACTCTTATACAAAAAGAGTCCCACTGACCTTCTCAACTGAAGTGTATCTAGTAATCTTCAATGGGATGCAAGATTGCCCCCAAAGTCAATGGAAAATGAAGTTATTTGAATGACCAAGCAGAATTTAACAGCAGGCATGCAGATTACAAATCGTGGTGAAATGACGACACTGCTGCTTCATTAGTTAATATTTGATTAATTTGAAAAATATTTGTCTCTGGAGAGTCAGAGACAGTCAGTAGCCAACAAGATGAGAAGTCACACAATCAAGATTTGGTGAAATTGGCTCAGGGTTTTTACAGTCTCTCTTCAAATAGTTTGTTTTGTGGGGGATCAAGGGGGAGGAGAGGAGAGATAAAATTCTCACATCCCGAAGTGACCATGGTACTTTTCTAAAGGTTAGGTATTGCAACACAGAGATTACACATGGATAGAGAGGCTGTAAAGGTGGTTTGTCAGAGCTTCCCAAAGCCTATTTAAAGACAGATGGCAGCCACTAACTTGGTGCTTTCTTGCTTTTGTCAACTGACAAACAAACAGAGCCAGGTGAAGCAGTCCAGCCAATGTAACCATCAAACTGTGACCCATTTCTAGAACCTGAAACCTTGGTTACATGCCACTATCTCCTCACCTGTCCTTTCTACTTCATGCCCCACCTGTACCCACTTCTCCACAAAGCTTCCACCTAATGGAAGACTTCAAAAGACTGTGAAAGCAGTTTTATCCTTAAAACCTACTGAAGTAAAACTGAAGCTTTCTGACTTCAAACAACCCCCCCCCCCATTCCCATCAGGGATCAATAAATCTGGCAGCCTCTTCACTGCGTCCAAGGCTGCCTCTTACTTTAGTCTTTCCAATGCTCTGGGTCCTCCATTTAAGTGGGCTTCAGAGCACACAATGTTTCTGAATCTCTAGAAGGCATGAGATAGATGTATTTAGTCTAGGGCTTCAAAGCACATCACACCCTTGAGAAGCAACAAGGAGTGATGTATGGACAGAGTGTTTACCTAAATATACTAGTGCCCTGCAGAGAGCACTACTACCCAGCTCCCCTAGGGTCCTCTTCATCCTGATAGAATCAAGTAGGGGGTGGGGGAAGGAGGAAAAGAGGCAAAAGTAGGAGGTGCTGAATCCTTTGCTCTGCTAAGACAGCAGAACTGTGGGATGGTGAGAGCAGCCCCATTCCCTCTCCCCTCAGCCCGCAGAGAGGAGAGTATGCCAAGTAGATTGGCAGCCAGCAATAAGGAACAATACACTCAGCAGGCTGGTTTCACTGCCTGTAACTAGTACAAAGTGCATCCCCTAGAGCAGCTTCTTTACCTCTTCCTGCCCCCCAACCCATTGTGGTCAGCAGAAAAGAACACATCCTGATCTTTTTACTTTGGCTTTACCACAGAGAATCTCAGGGAGGCAGGGTATGGATGTGAATCACTCTTTCCTCAGCTCCAGGTTGGCAGCATTGCTCCCTGGCTGCTGCTACAGCCTGCTTGAAGTATGGTAGCAGCTGCTCTCCTGTGTGGGCAGAGGGTGGGAAGGTTAGCCAATGGATTCAGTCACTGGCTCACTGCCTCTAGTCCCAGAGAGAGACATTTAAGTACTGCTCAGACTCTCATGAGGGTGGAATCCCTCTGCACAAAATCTCCCCATGAAGTGAAACAGCAGTGGCTCAGTTCTGCACATAGGGCTTCCTAGGCTGACATATGACTGTGTGAGGGGCAGAGGCAATTGGCCTATAAAAAGAAAATATTTTCTATTATGCTTTAAAATATATTTGATTAAGTCCAAACTCATCAAATGCTAACAAGGTGTGATTTGAAGGTTATCATTACTTTATTTTGTTCACACCTTCCTATGAGCCATTAAAGCCCTCACCTCTAATAAGTTATACCACAAACAATAATTTAGGTATGATTTGATTCAGAGAGACATTGTAACACCAGGAGGGTGTTTAACCCCCTGCGTAACACAGGCCATAGAATTTCACCCACTAATTCTTGCACCAAGCCAATAACTTTGTTGAGCTATAGTGTATTATTTAGGAAGACAATCTTTATTCAAAGACTTCAACTGATAGTGAATATACTTTATCCCTCGGTAAGTTGTTTCAATTGTTCACCACCCTCACTGCTCAAATGCTGCACCTTATTTGTAAGCTGAGTTTACCTAGCTTCATCCTTTGAAGTAATTTAGCGTCACTTTAGTTAAACAGGCTTTTAAGCAAAAAAGCTTTAACCACCTATTTAGGCCTTCCCTTTACATTCTTAACCAAGCTACGGGTTACCTATTTTTCATAGTCAGCCTAGCAGAATTGCCATGAAAATGTAATGACCTGAACAAAAAGTCTACTTGCCTGCCTTTTGCAAAGATGATACTGCTAATGAAGAAACTCCGATTTATTTTTTTTTTAAACTCACCCTGGGCAAGCAGAAGCTTGCAATGCTATGCAGCTTAGGAAGCCCTACCCGCACAAGGGACTCAACATAGCGCTCCATGGGGGACAATTGTGCAGGGGATGCCACCCTCATGAAAGCAAGAGAGCAGTGCCTGAAAACAGCTCCCTTTGAGCCCAGGCCAGGAGGCAGCAAGCCAGTGACTAAATCCACTGGCCAATTTTCCCACCCTCTGCCCACAGAGGAGTGCAGCTGCTACCACATCACATGCAGTCTAGCAGCGGCTAGGGAGTATTCATTCAGCTCTACCCCTGCCTTCCAAAGATTCCTGGGGTTAGGTCTCCATTCCCACCTTCTTCCCCTCCCCCACCCTCCCAAAAACCCCTCCAGCAACTCTGCTCATGCAGCTTGCCAAACATTTTTCCATCCATTGTACAGCTGAATCGAAATACCTTGGTAAATTAGAGAGTAATAAGTTGGGGGTAACATTATTTGGTGATTTTACTACTTAGTAACATAATTCATGATATTTGCAAAGAAAGAGACTGCATTATGGATACAGTAAATTCTAGGAGCTTGACTTCTCACGTGAGGAATCCATGCCAGAATTAGATCAAGATTAGTTAAGCTGGGTTTTTTAAATGGTTTCCTTTTCAATAATGCCAGCAGATGAAAATGGGTGTTAAGTAATGAATGGATTAGGGTTTAAGATATAGGTTAATACAGGATACTTTATCACTCAAAAGGGAAAACACAAACCTTGCAGTATTAATTTATAAGTTAAGAACTTTTAATTTATATGTATTATTTACACACTATTTTTAACAATAAAACATTTAAACCACTTCACTAGGCAACTCAGCTTTTTGAAGTTCAAACTCTGATATACCTGGAGAGTATTTGGACTTCAAACAGTTCTATAACCAGAATAAGCTCATTTGATATTTGTGAGGTAAATGTGGTTTCAACATGGATTTCTGTATTCTAAAAGGCAGCTAAGCCATCTATCCACTAAAAATCATTAGTAATGTGAGAGTTAACACATTTCTATAAGAAGGCAACAAGAAGCTGATAAAAATGTGAGTGCAGATTTGTTCCATCCCAACACCTTTCACACAAACAGAACATAATTTGGGTTACAAATTGTCCCACTGAATGGGAAACTCGCACTTAATTTCTCCCAACCACACTTATCACGGATGTTTTTTTTTAATTTGCAACAATCTTGCACAATGGCCACAAATCTAATCTCACTTTTGAAGATTGTTTGAAGTTATTTGGCTTCAACAAAAATAGTTAACTAAATTATTTTACCTTAGTCTTATCTCAGGCGTTGTGCTGCAGCAGTGGTTCTTAAGCTGTGGTCTGTGTCCCACTGGTGGCCTATGGACATTTGTTGGTGGTAACATTGTGCTAGCTTCTCCTCCTCATTTCAAAGCTGATTGATGTCAATGGTAAGACTTTCATTGACTTCAATGGGCTTTGGATCAAGCTCTAAAAGATGCCAATAGTACATTAGATAGTTTCTTAACATTTTTCCATGAGAGCACTTGATGTAGCTGCCACAGTGATGTCTGGGATCCCAGCCAGAGTGGAGATCATCTGCATAACCAAGGATGTGAGGGGCAGCAGGTGCACACAGAGTCCACTTCCTATCATAAAGGCTCATTATGCAGAGGTTTATAACCTAGCGGTAAGAAATGCATTCTTGGCTTAAACTTCAATTACAAAAAGTCTTAATGGAGAAGGGTGGGAGGTTTATTGTGTTTTTTGAACTTTGAATCCTATCATGTAAACCTACAAACAGCTTATTGCCATGAATTGCCATGAAAGCTTATTGGGCAATCATGGTCTGCCAGGGGAACAAGCAGTAGCTGTAAAATACTTACAGAATGACAGTGAAGTCCTGACCCCACTGAAGTCACTGGCAAAAAAATTACTTTAATCAGTCAGGATTCCCCCCCACCCCAAGTCCTTCCATCTGTTGAATGAATATGAAAAAAGTGGCAAGGGATTATATGAGAGATGAGAAGATTCTGTACAGCAGACAGTGACCTATAGTTACATTAGTCATGTTTAGGTCTGTGTGCACATATACTTGGGACTAACTTTAATTACAGCCTAATGGACATAGGGGTGTAAGGAGATTTGCAACTAAAAACTTTATGTAAATGGTGTTAAGGTTGCAACAAGGAAATTCAAATGTTTTGTCAGAAACTTGGATACTGCTTAGAAAATGTTCAGATCCCATTCCAGTTAGAGGAAATGGAATCTGAATTCCCTCAAAGGTCAGATCTAGGGTTTGGGAAGTCACAGCCACAGGGACAGCCACACAATTCAAATCCAGATTCATTTCAGATCTTCAGCTCCAGGGTTTGGTTCAGACTTATCCCTAGAAGAGTTTTTGCTACATCATATATACACATTAAAGGCCCGATTCTGCAGTCCTTATGCAGGCAAAACTCCCAGGGACTACAGGATGCCAGGATCAGGAAAAGGTTTCTCAAACATTCACTCATTTCTGCCGATTTCCCAATCTAAAGTAATTCTGTGTTTGACATCTCTTGGGCTGCATGCAAGACAATGTCACAAGCAGAGGATCATAGGTGGAGACACAGCAGGAGCTGAGGCACTTAAGATAGGTTTTTTGGTCTATCAGTGTTGATGAGCAGGGAAATCGGATCCATAAATAGAAATATTTCCGCCAATGTCTTGGGTATTTTTAGGGAGTCATCACCTCTTCCACTAGGCCCTATTTAAGTTCATTTGCTCCTTAAGGCAAAACTCTTGTTGAAAGCTATGGCAGTGGGCCTGCTTCAACATGGCCAAAATGAAGGGTCTTTTTCAGCAACTAAAATCTGCTGACCTTGGGTAGGCAAATCTCCAGCTAATTTTAATAGGGGTTTTGTCTTACATTGTGCTGAGGACGGCAGGGCCAGGTTCTATGCATGGCCAAGGACTTGCTATTCAGACAAACTGAAGTAGTCAAATGGATTTTGTTGTCCTAGCTACCAAACTTATTGTAGCCATAAATATTACAGGAGGCAAGAATACAGGGGGATCTAATCAGATCTAGAATCTGATGGTGACAGGATCACATGGTCAAAATTATGGCAAAAAGTATCCCTGGCAATTGTTGGGCTTCCTTATTTACCTTTGGAGGCTGCTCAGTTCTCAGCACTAGATATCAAGATGCACAATCCATGCAAAGCACCTTTGGTATATCCATGCTACAACTGGGAGCCAGCCTCCCAGCCTGGGTAGACAGACCTGTGCTAGCTTCATTCATGAAAGCATACTAAAAATAGCAGTGTGGATGTTGCAGTGCTGATGGAGACTTAGGCTAGCCACTCAAGCTTAGACCCAGGGAGCTGGAGAGCCCGAGCCACAATGGTCACACTGCTACTTTTAGCATGCTAGTACAAGTCTACCTGGGCCAGGAGACTTGCTCCCAGCTGCACTGTAGACTTAGGCCTCAAGGAATTCCTACTTCCAGAAACAATACTCAGTTGCTGAAGTCTGGACTTATTCTCATATGGGGAAGGAAAACCAAGCAGTTTATTTAAATAAATATGAAAGCACACTGTGATTAGTTAAGGACTTCCTGGTCTTTAAAGGCAAAAGGCATGGATATTTTTGATAGCATTACTTTTTGCTATTCCTACAGGGTCATACTCACCCCCTTTTGGAGGATGTGCCCTATACAGTCAGGACATTTGTGAATTTAGACTGAATTGCAGGGCACAGCTAGTACAGAATGAAAGCCCACAAGCTGGCATTCGTTACCCGCTGGGGAGCTAGCATTAAGTCAGTATACAGCAATGCTTTCTTTCTTGGGTTTTTGATTCTCTCTTTTGACTAACTGAGTCATTTTCTATACATTTCTCATTAACCTTTATGTGCACACCTGATGTATAAAAAGGGGTCTCCAAGCTGCTTGTAACCCGAGCTCTATCTTGTTCTTCCACCTCATCGTTATGATAGGCATGTTTGGGGAAAGTGGCAGGCTTGTGGGACTTCGGGAGGCGGATATTGGTAGACTGGAAAGGTAGGGCCTGTTGTCCTCTACGGCTGCACTCCTCAGCAAGAGCTTCCTCATCTGCCACACCTGAAAAGCAGACAAGTCAAGAGAAATGAGCTGGAAGCACATCAAGGCTTTAGCTTAACCTGAAACAACTGGAAATCAGGCTGGAAGTCAGGAACACTAAGTTACACCCTGGTATTGACAGACTCAGTCTGTTGCCTTGAGCAAGCCATTTAAACTCTTCATGCCTCAGTTTCTCCATGGTAAAGACAGGGATAACATTACTCTCTACCACTGGCCCATGTTACTGTCCTCTGAGCTACTGCACAAAGTCTGGAAATGTCCCCTTCCCCCCTCCACACACAGAATCTTACTACAGTGGACCCACCCTGCCAGATTCTGGTGGACAATCAAAATACTTGAGCCCGAGCAGCAGAGCACACAAGCTGATCAAGGGCTTTTTCCTGGTTTCCCCTGCTGCAGCTGAAAAAGCCATCCCACTACAGCTCTGATTGAGGCCTCCACAGAAGGGGTAAGCACTGCAGCAGAGAGAAGCAAAGTCTACTGCCAAGAGGGAAAGAGTCCAGTTAGGCTGACTCCAGGGATGAGAAGAGGGTGAATTTGGCTCTCAGGAAGGAAGGAAGGAGAGCTGAGACTCTGAAACCGAAGAAAGAAGTGGGAGGAAACATCAGCAGGAGGGAGGAAATAGAAGAGAAAGGGGGAGAGAAAGAGCACGCATGCGCACACTTGAGAAGAGAAGAAACATGATGGAAATAAAATGAAGAGTTCAGGAAAATACATAAGAAAAAGTCGTACCACTATGGGAGTTCAAGTGAATTTGCCTTGCTGCACTAGTTGTGGCAACATCAATACAATAAAGCAGAGAAGTCAGCCCCTTCTGCTGGAGCTACCATATCAAAACAACATTAGCAGTAAAAACACTGATAGGAACACAGTACTGAGGGAGGAAAAAACCCTCAAACAGGAACAGAAGGAAAAAGGCACAGAGAAGCTAAAACCTATAATGGGAAAGAAAGCTGATGACCCGAACAACAGTTAGGAAAAATACTGAAGGAAAAGAGGGAGGTAAATAGGAGACAAAGGAGCTTTTTTTGTTTAACTTTTATTAAAAAGTTACTACTTTTTACTTGATCACTTAATATTTGATTAAATGTGGCGTTTTATATGCATCAAAACTGGCATGTCTCATTCTGTAAGTTTTTTCCACACTATTTCATGCATCAGCTGCATAGGGATGGGTGTGTTGCATTAGTTAATGTCTGGAAAATACTTTGAAGATAGAAAAGCACTATGTATGCATTAAGCAATAACAGTAATCCAGGGTCAGTTGTTATCCAGTTACCTAAGCAACTCTTGTGTGCTTTAAAACAGTGCAGGGATACTTACAGGTGGAAGGATTATGCGATTATGGTTTTCTTTTTAAACTCATCGTTGCATATGGAGTATTACATTTAGGGATCAGGAAGACGAGATGGGGTATAATTTTTTACTTCTTGCATAGGACAATTCAGCTCTCAGCCACATGGAGCAACTAAAATCCTACGTAAGTGGCAGATGTGTTTATCATACTTGTATTTAAGTGACTAGCTTGCCAGCAGTTTTGAACATATACCAAGTTATAGTCAGGAGTATTATAGAGGTGGCAGAACTGATCCGTCTATGCTGTACGATGTTTTGGTTAGGCCTTGGCCTCCTTCGTAGATTTAACAGTCAAACCTCCCCCTATTTGAAAGACAAGCAAGAGGGAGACACAAAAGAGAAGCTGTGTAAAAAAAAAGCCAGGTATTTCCACATGGAGGTGCAACCTGGCTGTGCCTGTTATATTGACTTTAAGAGAACGCAATTGGCAAGCTGTTCCCTAACGTTTTACTGTGCTGTCAAGAGAAGATCCCTGGCAGTATGGCTTCACCCAACAAATTCAATGGCCTCGATCCCATGTGGAGCAGAGTACCTTCAGCTGCCACTGCTATGGAAAGCAGCTGAGAGTGCTCTTCACTATGCAGGATCAAAGCCGATGAACAAACATTAATTCAAATCCTTAGCTTCCTGCTGGAGAAACTAGAATCCTTATGAAGGGTTTCACGTCCACGCTATCATGTGAGATGCTGTCTATGCGGCACTTGGCACAGGCACTTTACACATGTATCAATCTCATTACACCAGGTCTGTTAAGAGGAATCCTTTTAAAAAATGGTAAGAATAGAAAATCAAACTTAGTGGAAAAGTCCAATGTACCAATTAAGCTATCAGGGCAGATCAAGGGAGTTGATTTCCTAACAAATTACTTTGCAAGCTTGGTAAGAGATTCCTCCCCTCCTACAGGAACACAGCTCTCCCTTTGATGTACGTCAAAATTCTCCGGTGCACATTTACAGTTTATATCTGAAAGCAGATGCACATATTAGAAATGTGCATTAGCCATTAGTTGTAGGAGTTTTATGTTTGTACCCCTTTCAGGAAAGGCTGCTTCTTACCAGCTGAAATGAAAATGGACACTATTGTAAATACTGGGGTAAGTATTACATTACCTACCTATATGCTACACAAACATGGACAAACTGAATTCATTGAACTATTCCAGCTAGGTCTCAGTCACACCCAAAATTCCAGAGTTTTGACTTTTATTGAGCCAATATGAAGGAAGAGTTTGAAAGACCCAGAATTCAGAGTACTGTAATCTCACTACCCGAGCAGCACACTCCTCAGCATGATTTTGTGCACAGCCTCTTACACCCTAACCCCCTATCCAGCAGTTACCCTCCCTTCTTTCTGCATGTGGGTGTGTCATACAGATACTGCAGCTCACTCCAGGAACTAGCAACAGCACTAAAAAGCGTTTAACAAAGCAGCAGAAAAGTCCAACAAGTCCTCTTGGCTCCAGGCTTATAAAATGACATTTCACACACACAAAAAAAAGTTTTAAAGTAGACTAAAGTATTCTGAAAGATGCCAAATGCCCTCAACTCCCACTGAATTCACTTACATTCTCGGCAAGAGATAGGCTACAACTCTCTGGCTTCTATTGAATTTCACGGCAGATCCTCTTCCTATTAGACCTCAGTTGTACCAAGTGCTGAAGGATGGTCTTTAGTTAAAACGGTAGCCTTGCATCCAGGAAATCTGGGTTTAATCAATGTCTGTGCCAGACTGTGTGACCTTGGGCAAGTCACATACTTTGTGCCACCATTCCCCATCTGTAAAATTCTCTTTATCCTTATAATTTAGAATAAGCAATTTGGGAAGGACCATCTTCAAAGAGAACACTGCCTAGCCCTTGAAGGTCTTTGGTTAGTTCTTTTAGGTGCTATACTGTGATACAAAACATTAGGAGATTTCTCTGGTACTTATTCGGGCTAGGGAAAACTATATAGCCATGTCAAGGGCATGTGAGTATGCTACTGCAAACTGCCACAGGCCCACTGAAGCCAGCTGATTTCTCAGCCATGCCAGTTGCTGTGTACCAAAAGTTGCACACAGAAAGCTTCCTAATACCTGATCTGCCAAAATCAAGTCAGCAACACAAGACAGGTTTCAAACGGTCTGGGGCTTATCGGAGTGATGCAGCTGCACCTGAAGCACAAAAAGGCTTAGCGTTGCTGTGGAAAAACAATATGAGATACTTAGGCATTGTCAGCAAAGAGCAAAGCCGGTAAGGGATGTTTCCAAACTAGCTCAAGCCTCTCTCTTGCCTAGAAGGGGATGGCAATCCACACTAAAACAGAGTACAGCTCAGATATGGAATGCAGCAAAACAGCACCTGTTCTGGAAATAAAAACTTATAAATAAGCCCTGCTTACTATCCTGGATTTAAGGTTTCCTCAAGGAATTTTGATTAGTGTCTCACACATTCCCTCCAACAAAGGAGCTACACCCCTTTAGAAACTGTAATCTTAAACCTAGTTTAGTGAGTGCTTTATTGCAAGAAATTGCATTTTCTTACATACTGCCTAGTGTAACGATGCTGAAGGACACAATGTTAAGTAACTGCACACCACAGACATCACATAAATACTGACTTAAAACTGCTAAAGAACAAATACTACTGATGTGAAATATTTACCCTAATTAAAAAAGTAAAATATACAGTTAGCTGTCTCATTATGCTACAAACACCACCACTCCCCTTCCCTCCCCTCCCCACCCAACCACACAAACTTCTGTGTTCCCTATTTCCAATACAAAAGGATTTAGCTTATCTTCCTCTGAACCTCTGGACTATACATTTCACTCCACTATACATTCCACTATACATTGAGAAAAAACACATTTTTCCGTTCCTAGATTTATGACATCTGGAAGCATTTGATGCTCCTCACAATTAGCTATACGCAATACTACTAAGTGTACAGTGCACCAAATATTGTATTGATGACTGTGTCTGTACTCCAGTTGATTACTTAAGTTTTGTATTTGTTTTCCATAGTATACCAAAACAGATTAAAGCTTACTTTGCATGTGCATGCTGTATTCTTTTCTACCTACTTCATTTTTTGCAGTTGTGGATCTTTATTTTATCTGTAAAAATTCAGACAAGTGGTGAATACAATACAATAAAAGTACTGTATAAAAACAGCCATTGCAGAACATTTAAAAATCAATATATTTGTGTGTGTATATATACACACACACACACACACACGAGTGTTTTCACAAACATTCAGAAGTTATTTGTCAGCTGCAATGTTTGTACTGAATAAATGAGAGCCACAGTATCTGTGTTGTTGTGGGAAAGGGTAATCTGAAAACTGATTATATCTTAGATCCTCAGTCTACTAAATACTATCAGAAGATTAAACATGCATGTTTATTTTGTGAAAACCGATTTTGGGGGGAGGGTATGTTTATCAGTAAACGTGAAATATTTAGACCCTTGGAATCAATTACTCATTATTTGCTACCCCCTAGTCAAAATACTTTCACAGTTTAAGGCTATACAGGCTGGGATTTATATTTAGAAGCACCAAACTTCTACAACTAGAACAAGGCTCCTGGTGCTTCACATATCTGAAAAATCAGAGCCACGATAGAATGTATTTAAAACTAATCTAATTAGGGCCAAATTC